TATTATATATATATATATATATATATGTATATTAATAATATAATACCCAACTGATCGTTCCTAGACCTAATCGTTAATTTTTAACACTCGGATGACTTACTTATACGGATGGAGTACTTAATTTTCTTACGTTATCAATCACGATCAGATGCGAATAAAGAAAGCAATCAAAAAAATGAATTTTAATTAGAAACGGTTTTAGGTTTCAATATTGACAGATACGAACAATCCGTAATGATAGCTGTTCACGGAATAAAGAATCAATTATAAGGAGGAAACAACAATAAAAATATCGGATTTCCATTCCACTCGCCTTTTTTAAGAGCGTTCTCTCAACAATTGCACGGTTCAATAAAAGAAAAGAAACTCAACGAAAAGGAGAATAGTTTCTCGTTTCTTTTCTTTTTTTTAATATTTGTGTCGAGAGGTTTGACTTTTCGTACCTCGGTTATGCTGGTACGTTAAAACAGTCTTTTTTTTGCAGCTTCAGGTTCAGTTTTCATTATTAACTTGCGGTTAAACTCAATCTAATGTTTCACCCAATACTTCCCAATCTCGAATTTTGCAAAGTTACAAGTCGTTAGTCACGATATTTTCAAGACCGAAGTTCAAAGTCCTTGAAGACCGTTAGATTTAACGTCAGTGTCGAGGTTTACGTAAAGATTGTACAGAATTTATTACTGCTTGTTTTTATCTCGAATTTGAAACAAAAGGAAGGTTATTTTTTGCGAGGTTATTGTTCAAGCAATTAAATGTTAAAAATGTCCACATGGAATAACAAATCACGATAATGTCAAAATGACAATAAAATAAATTTTAAAATGACATTAAAATGAATCGAAAAATAATTGAAAAAAATAACTTTTAATGATTCATTTTAGAGCCATTTTGACATCATTTTGATATCATAATAACATGTTGTTCTACTTGGATTATAAACCGTGCTGCAAGTTGTCTCTGACGAAGGAGAATATTCGTCGGTCTTTTCTATATGATAGGCATATGCACATATGAACTACACGTTGCATATTGTGTGCAAATGATATACAAATGATGGCATAGTCTGGCATGTTCGCGTTCCGATGCAATATTCTCTCGTGTCGACGCGACGACGGAAGGAAGAAACGTTCGTCCGCAGTTTTTCGATCCCATGGGCAGTGTCACAGCGTACGAATGTAGCATTCGTTTGCCCTGAAAACCGTTTCAATGCCGTTCATTGATTCCTTCGCGTTTTGCCACGTGCGAGATATTTCTCCTTGGACACGTAAAAAGCACGAAGCTGCAGGGGTACAATTCCGCGATAAAAGATGTCGCGTATAAATTTACATATTTATTCATGCTCGAAAGGAATATTGCAACGCAGAGAAAAAAAATACGTATCTTATATTATAACATCTTCACGTTATTTATATGATATGAGAGATCAGTAATTAATTTATCTATAGCGAATATAGTGATCTGTTACGCTATCACGTTCAGGTGACAAGCAAATTTCTTTCACTTCGGTTAAGAAAAAAAGAGCAGATAGAAAAAAGAGGGACATTACAAATTTCATTATACGTAGAACACGGTCGTATTATGCGTATGCGTCACGTAAGTGACGAAAATGTAAATCATATAAGTGCACGTTGCAAAATGAAGCGGAGGAGGTGCCACGAACATCCTGCATGGCAGAACCGATAGAACTCGATCTTCCGTGAAATCGAATTGCGACGCGGTTTTCTCTACGTGGTCGATAAGGGACGAATGTCAATGTACACGTCGCTTAGCTATGTTGTATTATTCCGCAGCCGCAAGTCGTTCTTGCATCAAGAAACCGCTCTTCCGCCGGGATGGAATGCGAATGAATGAAACAACAAAACATTAAGACATTCCGCTAGATATGTATATATCTATATGGAAGATTCGGCGTGACTGAAACTCTTTTCCATTTAATAATTTATTTAGTTATCCATTGGATAACCAAATAGAAAACACGTACACCAGACAGATTTGTCTGGAAAATCAATAAAAAATCTGGTGTATACTTTGATCGGCTCAATCAGCATTGTTGTGCAATACATATGTTCTCTTTATTTAGGTTTAATCCTTATGGGCTTTCTACAATATGCCATTACCTAAGTTTTAAGTCTTAAGCCGTAAGAAATTGACCAATCACAGTCGAATGTGAGAAGAATAATCGACCATGATTGGTTAATTTCTTATGGCTTAAGGTAATGACTTGTTGTAGACAGTCTATTAGTCGACGAAAATACAGATTCTTGCATAACGCATAAGGCATCAAAAAATCAATAGTCTTTTAATTATTTTATGGAAAAGAAGGAAAGTAAGGCTTTGATTCGTTCATTTTCTTACGTATTATATATCATGCGTTATGCAAAATGTATAATATATAATTTAATACATACGATGATTTGCCGGTTCTTTAATTATTACACACAATGAGTCATTCGTGTCATGGATTAATTTTCATCACTTTAACAAATATACAAAAATTATTAAGTGACTCTTACATATGTTTTAACATCTTTAAGAAGTATTTAAAAATTGTGTATTTAAAAAAATTTTATGTAAACGTTATAACAATTACTTGATGCTTCTACTTAAAAAAAAAAAAAAGAGAGAAATGTGCAAAAAACGAATGACTCAATTGTGTGTATTAAGGAATGTAAATAGAATCTAAACATGAACATATGTACGATGATTGAATTAATAAAAATTGACGCTATAATATAATTTTATCCATTTTCCATGAGACAAGTCTATGGATATTTTTTAACTGATTTATGTTCTGTTCCATGATTTGTTTTGTTTGCCGCTTATATCGTTTGCTTTCTTAGTTTGCATTCTTATTTTTGCTTTCTTAGTTTTGTTTTCCGTTTATATTGTTTGCTTTTTTCCCAGTGAGAAATAATAATGGAATCGATATCAATTTTACTGTCATTTCTTACTGGGAGCTTTGTTTGTGTCGTTTTAAATTTCTACTTTGCGCTTTGATCATGTTTTCATTATTGGTATTACAGCGGCAGCTTTATGTAGCTTGATGTCTTACCTTTTGCGTATAAATTTTTTTCATTCTGTATTTAATTATATGAGTTATCATAAATTGATTATTAAATTTGATTGATTTTGTATCTATGCAATCAAATTATTATTATTATTATTATTACATATAAATTGATTCCGATAAAAAAGAAGAGTTTCTAAGTTTTTTAATGTATCTATATATTTCACATTAATAATTTTAGAATCAAATTTATGATTACGGAGATGTATCGCTCTTATCGGTATTTACATTTTAGAGATATATATGTATAGGACGACGAGAGACAAGGAAGAACTTCCAAGTTTACGTGGGAGAATCTGTTGCCTATAGTTCAATGAAAAATCCCTAATTGCGTCATTCGTATCGCACCTGACACCTCACAATGCTCAGAATTAAATCTATGTTAACACAATTCTATCAATAACTATTAACAATTAAACCTATGCACACGATTTATTTTTTCTTGCTGGATTGCTCGTGTTTCAATAAATTGCTAGAACTACATCACATAAAATACAGAATTTTTAGTAATTCTATATAAATTCAGTAAAAAAAAATGCATTGTGTGCTGTAAACTTTACTTATTATTATACGTTCAACATTTATCATATTAAGCTAATGCAAATAGCAAACTATTTATTTATTATATATTTGTACATATATACTTTAATATGCATAATGCAACTAGATCTCGTCAAGATTCCTAAGTACTTCTCAATGCTGGTAGATTATTCGAGAAATGTATAGAGTAAAAGATTGTATATTACTGACATATTAAGCATTCAGTTATTAAATTTGTTTAACTAAAATAGTGAAAGGTATATAATAATTAAATAATTAAGTAATAATATATAATAATTAAGTAATTAAGTAATTAATAATATATAAAAATTAAGTAAACATTATCACCATTTGATGACAGCCTTTTATGGGGCTGGCTATCTATTTTTAGAATTAAATAAATTCCACATATTTTGTCATTTCTTAAAAAAATTTGAAAAGTTTTTTAGATTCTCACCTTATTATTAAAAATTAACATGTTTTGTTCCTATTGATAAATATTTGAATTGCAAGGAACTGCGATAAAAAAAAAATTTGTAGAAAATAAGAGTCTTATGCAATGAAATAGATCCGTACAATTATATAAATATAATATTATTAAAATCTCTGAAATGAATGCGCTTATTATTAAAAAGAGCTTTTAAAGTTTACAGAAGTCTTTTGAAAGAAAATTACACAAAAGCACAAAATATGTACGTGATTTTTCTGCTAAGATAAATAAAACATGAGCAGACGTATGAAAAGTTATTTCGAGAAAAATTTCTGTCGTCTTAAGTAGGATACACGAGTAAAGTTCCACGTGTGCACACATACATTACCCACTACTTTATTATTACTGCACATTCCATAAATTTATAGACAAGTAAAACAATGCATATTACCAATATGAGATCTTGATAATGACATAAACTCTATGTCAAATAAATAACACGTCATATAAAGACATAGAAAATAAAATTCTTTGCATACTCAAGCAAAACAACAAGTCATTATAAAACCAAAATGATATCAAAATAACCTCAAAATATCATTTACGATTCATTTTAACGTCATTTTAACGCCATTTTGATGTTACGTAACTTGTTATGCTTGGATATAATGCAAACATACGGTAGTTAAAAAATTTTTATTAATTATTTACATTTTTTCAAAATTAAGGAGGCCAATTAAAAATTTCGTTGAAAAATTATAATAATAAATATAAAAAAATTATATTAAAGCTGCGAATATAACATAAATTATAAAAGATGACCTTTTACATAATTCGAATTGATAAATGTAGGTATCATAATTAATTCAGTACGTGATAATTAATAATAATATACGACAAGTGTATTCCATTACTATATTATATGTAATTTCCATATATTATTTTATTTATCGGATGTAATTTATTAACTATATCTACATATATTATCATTGTCATTATTTTCCGTCATATGTTGTATTTTATGCAGAAAAATCAAACCGTCTCGTATTTCTCAAGTATCCCCGTACAAGCGCCACCTTGTACATGTTTATATGCACGTTGTCTCGCGTTCTCCGGACTCCGCAAAAGCAACAAGTTTGACTACGATCGGGACCACATTTCTTCGTCACATTACCTTACATAAATGTGTCCTTTCGTATTACTAATAAAACTTTTATTCCGTGCGTATTGCATGAGAATGTACGTCGCATCTCAACCCTGCGTGCGTTCCGGGTGCGGCATGGGAAGGTGAGGGATGACGAGAGAGGGTAAGTTACGCGTCGACGTATGATTTCTCTGGCGCCCCATGAAACGCGCATGGCAGTTGGAACAGCGCGTATTTAAGGGCTGATCTCCGGCTGTTCTCGCCACTGTCACACTGTTCTCGTCCGGGCCTCACGCCGGTCATCCCACGCGACGCTTGTCTTTGCAACCCTTCGTCCTTCTTCGTCGAGCCATCGTCCACGTCCACGTCCGCGACACGTCGACGGCGATCTTCGTTATCTTCTCGTCCATCCCGCGAGTCACATCGCGAGATATCCCGCAATCCTCCGCACCATCCTATCGCCTTTCCACACGGACGTCTGTCCAAGTCGCCAAGTCGGAACTTCGGGAATCAAATTCGGGGGTATCATATCCCTCGTGCGAATTCGCGGCCCCGTTCAGGTTGACACCGATTTGCAGTCTACCGGTGCGATAAAAGGGGTGAACGAGCGCGACGAAGCCGTAAGCCTCTGCTTTTGCTGACTATCTCTCAACGACCACTTTCTTTGCTATCTTCACGCTTTCACCAGGTTGGTACTGTCCTGTTGAATATTCAAATCTAACGGGCTTTCTGTATATAATAAGCATTACCTTAGTTTTAAGTCTTAAGCCGTAAGAAATTGACCAATCACAGTCGAATGTGATAAGAATAATCAATTAAATTGATCAATTTCTTACGGTTTTAAAATAAGACTTAAAGCTGAGATAATGACTTATTGTTAGAAGCTATCATAATTTTAACTTGCGTGCAAAGTGAAAGATTATATTTTTCAAGAAAAAAAAAATTATGCGGTATGATCCAGATTTGCGTTTTTAAAACACTCATGTAAAATTATTATATAATTAATATCTTTTGCAGAATCTTCTTTAAATTCACGAGTCTAATGAAATGCGTTAAATGTTAACGTAGATTTGTTAATACAGTTATATATAAAATTATGATATATAGTATCGTATTATATACGGTTACTATTATGTAAATATAATTAATATGTAAATAAAATATTTTTATATATAGAGCTTTGATATTTGATATGATAATTGAGAGATTGTGTGCCACTCTGCATAAAAGTGCGCATCTATTCTGCCACGTTTGCAAAATTTAAAAAAGTTTATATAAAATATAAGTTTATAACGAAAATACGAAATATGTTGTTAAAAATTCTTCGATATTTCTATTTTACTTCTACAAAATAGAAACTCATACAAAACTTAACAACTTCGTATATTGTGCAATTTAATTTTTTCTGATAAGGGGATAAGTTTTTATATTTACTTTTAGTTTTAGAAATCGGATGTAATCCACAATCTATTCTTTTCTAGAAATAACTCTTGCACACCCACGAAGAATATAACTTCATTAGGAATTGACATGTTAAAGTGACTTTAAAGCAATCAAGCAAACGTAATTCGTTTCAATACAGATGTTTTTCTTTTTTAATGGTTGCGTTCATTCGATTTACAGAGCAAACGTCCGTTTATTATTTATTATTGGCATAACACGTGTGTGTTTGAAAGCAAGTACAATCTTGCGTTACATTTATAAAAATAAAAATAAATATATAATTTTTCTACAAAATTCCAATTTTTAAAACTAATATATAGAAAATTATTAGTTGTGTAATGAAATGTAGGAAATTATAATATTATTATTGATAGTAGTGTTTATTATATTTTTTTGCTCATTAAGATTACATTTTCTTTTGACATTTTTCCTCGAAAATTCTTGTTGATTGGCAATGAATTTATTTCACAAATAGAGTTTATTTCACAGGTGGAGATTATAAAAAGTGTGTTTTATATACGGATCAAATATTTTACGTAAACATCATTTTAAGTATATATTGTATCATCTACATACAAATTGAATCCTTTATTTACATAATTATTAAATAACTGTATTTTACGTTATATAAAATTTCCTAAAATTAAGAAAAATGGAAATATATTCCTCCGAAAATTCCAATTTTTAATGGTAAAGATATCTTTGAGGCACTAATAAATTCATAAATTACAAGGAAAAAAGAGCGAGAAACTTTTCTATGAATTAAATTCGAAAGGAACAAGTGCAAGACATTATTTGGTGCTCAATATGAAGTAGATTTTAACGGAACTTTTAATTAGAAATTTAATTACGACGATACAAGATGTTGAAGTTCGAAAAGTTGTAATAAATCGTGATCTTGGATTCTCGTTAAAGAAAAATCGATTTCGAATTTTTTAAGATAAAACGCTGTGCACACAATTTTACAATTTCAAGATTCTATATATATCTATCATGTATTGATAACGTATAAAACATTATCATACAGATGTGAGAGTACACCTAATCTTTCAGAGGAATTCAGTTTCAAAGTTTGACGTCTTAAGTATTCGAATAAAGCGAATTGACGAACGTTTTACATTTATTTAACTATTTAGTAACGTGAGAGCTTATCTACTTTTAAAATGTCGAACTCGAAAATTGATGTCTTGAGACATATATAGGATAAAGCGCTGTTGAATGCCATTTCTCAACACAGTCGTGATAAATGAACTTAAAATGATCTTGCGGTTCAACGCGTAAATAATTAATGCGAGATGTCAGTAAATTAACGTGAGTTCATATTTTGTGTATAAACCTATTATAATCAGAGTTGCCACAAGACTAAAAATCGAAGAAATCAGAGAAATGTCAGGAAAATTAAAAACAGTCAGAAAAAGTTAAGGAAAAGTTAGAGAATTTTACAAAATTTTCTGGAAAATTAAAGTTCTTGGCTTTAAAGAAGTTTAATGTACGTATATCATTTTAGAATACTATTAACTTAATAATTAAAAATACAAACAGTGCAAAGTGATTAATTAGTCATTAATAGTAATTGACATTGCTATGTTAAATTAATTTCTCAACAAAATATTTAACGGTTTTCCAAATCAATAGCAAAAATATAAAAAAAATTCAAAATATTATTGAAATTAGGAAAAATCATGAAATTTTGTCTGGAAATCAGGGAAAAGGATTATGGAATCTTAGGATGAGGAATTTGTGCTTGAATTACTTCGATTACGTTATACGGGATAGGAAAGGACACTATATACGCCGATCATTACGAAAGATTGATTGTTCGTTCCTCGATTTGCGTTTTATCATCCTTAAAAAGATGAATGTTCTGCAATACGCGCGAAATGAACATAACAGTTGGATTACAAATTGCATATCGGTATTGATTTAATCAATTCTCTCTGTATCTATTACTATTTCTGTGTGTATTACGTTGTATTACTATCTCGCGTAATAATATAACAAGCTCAATCTGTATAAACGAGATGTAATACGGCAGTTACAAATATCACTCTCATTAGCATTCAATTAACGCAGGCTGTTAATTAATTATGTGTGCGACTCAACGTTCTTATCTTTTCTTTTCATTTGTTAGTCTTTAATTTCATCTTCCTTCAGCGCGTTAATTAGAATCACCGCAAAGGGAATTACAAGGGAATAAAAAGGAAAAATTGCAAATTAACTATTGTTTTAATAAAACAGCTTTGCGAGACAATTATACATATTTTCTACATTTTTTCTAGCGTAAGTTAATTTTATCAAAGCTTTTACTTACCCATTGTAGAACAGATAAGAGAAACGAATTTCGCAAATCTCATAGAAGCTTCTTTTTTCCTTTCATAAACGATATTATATATTGTATCCCCTCAGCCAACCTTTACAGAAATTTAATTGGCTAAATAAAAGACAGTTAAGCTATTAAAAGACAGTAATTAATTAGTTATTTTAAGTATTCAAAACTGTTCTTGAATACTTTTCGTACTTCAAATAAGTGATTAATTACCATCTTTTAGTAATAAATCGGCCAATATTAATTCTCACCGTGTAAACGATAGTGTTCCAAGCGATTTTTCAAATTATGAATATGATGAATATTTTAAAAAAAGGTGAGTACGAACGAACCGTCTGCTCCTAAAAAAACTTATGGACGTGAGAGAAGATATCCGTGAAAATCCGGCAGTGTGTTATTTTCTCGCTGAGCAGCAGATAGATATTCAAAATCGAGTGCGGACACAAATGACACGTTTATACGCAACGCATATTTGTCGTACAAATAAATAAAATGATTTTTTAGTGTTTCTTGACTATTTTTACAAGTAAAATACATATATATAACGAACAATTTTTTATTTAGTATTATCTTAGAATAAAAATGGCAAATTACTCTGCAGAAGAGGTGTTACGATTTCTTTTCGTTCTTTTAGAAAGTCATTCCGTATATATTTTTATATTTACGAAAGTGTGAAATGAGATAATTGTGAATTATATAGATTTGCATAAAAAATGAATTTTTTAAAGTTAAATGTCAATTTTTTATTATTATTATTATTATTATTATTATTAGGCGTTAGGAACTCGAAAGCTAATTGCAGCAAATATCAAATATATACTATTTAATTGTATTTAATTGTATTTAAT